CAGGAATGAAACATGCCAACACAGTCACAGCTTTTACACCCTTGAGATGGTGGGTGATTTTTGTTTTCTTCCTTATGGTTTTCTGTATTTTTCAAATGTTCTACAACGAAACTGTTTTTTTTATAATTAGACAGACCTGATTAAAAAAATCTTTTCCGACCATGCGAAGATTACAGAGAGGGGAACATAAAAACTGAAACTACTATCTACAAGGACATAACCAAGTAGCAGCAAGGTGATTATCTGGGTTCCATGAATCAGAGGAGCCACTGGCTGGCCAGGGGTCCCTAGGACTCCTTGTGCTTTCCTTTGACAGCCCGTCTTCCTGGAACGACATCCAGGGCTGGCCTGTTCCTTGCAGCCTGGAAGACATGATTTTGCAATTGCATTGGGCATCTCTGTGAAGAACCCCTTCTCCGGAGACTCCCGGGGAGGGGGTGGCACTGTGAGAATTGAAGACTGGGACAACAGTGGTCTTGTAAGGGCCACTTCCTCAGCACCTCTCTTAGGCTTGGTGTGTGTTGGCCTTTTCTCTGTGGTGAGTCGTTGCTGCCTTGAGGACAGAGACCCTGTCCTCTGAGGCTTCTTGCTCTTCCGGACTCTCCCACCTGAACCCATTTGTTGACTGACTCCTGTCGGCAGAAGGGAGTCAAGGTCTCCCTCCCACCTTGATATGTTGGATGTTCCCAGCAGATGCTCGGTCATTGCCAAGGGGGCTCCCCGTGATCTTCTCACACCAGCTCTGGCCTCAGTGCTGCTTGAAGGAAGAGGACAGCCGAAGGGGATCTAGGGCGAGGCTCCCCGGCCCTTGGGGCGTGGCACCATGCGGGGGCAGGGCTGAGAAGTGGGGTTCACCTGGGAATGAGGGCGCCCAGGGGTAAGCAGGCCCTCAGCGGGTCCTCATGGGGACATGTCATGTCTCTGCCGCAGGTGAACGGGAAGGAGCTCTCCAAGCTGTCTCAGGAGCAGACCCTGGAGGCCCTGCGTGCCTCCAAGGAGCCCCTGGTGATCCAGGTGCTGAGACGCAGTCCCCGCCTCCGGGGGGATGGCTCCTCCCACGACCTGCAGCTGGTGGACAGTGGCACTCAGACCGACATCACCTTCGAGCATATCATGGCGCTGGGCAAGCTGCGCCCACCCACCCCGCCCATGGTCATCCTGGAGCCGTACGTCCCGTCTGAGCTGTGAGTCGACCTCAGGAGGGCCCTGGGCCCTGCCTCCAGAGAGGGCAAGCCACCTGGGGTGGCTGCCCCGTGCCACCCAGAGGCCACGCTGTCGCAGCTCTGGGCGTGGCAGGGAGACCCCGACTCGCTGCCCCCGGGCAGGAAGCAGGCTCCTTGGCCTCCAGAGCTGACCGTCTCACCCCAGGGCTCAGGCATCTCCGGGCCTCTAGCCTCTGGCTGGACAGCAGCTGGTGAATGGGCCTGGGTGTCCTGACATGCAGGCTCCCCACTGTATCTACCCCCAGGGCCAAGGGAGGACGGTCCCGGGACTTTGCTGCCGGAAGGTTGAGGTCCTCGGCTCCTCCTCTATCCTTTCTCCTCCTCCGCCGCCCCATCGTCTTCTGCCTCACAAGCATCATCCCTTGAATCTTCTTGCATCCTTGTCTGTCCCATTCCTCTGCCTGCTCTGAACTTCCTCCATCTCTTCGGCTTCTTTCTTTGGCCCGCTCGGAAGAAGGGCCTCTCATCCGGGCCTGGTGGCTCATGACTGTGTGAGCGCTGACTCATTTCGCTAGCCTCATCCCGGGCGGCAGGGAGGTCGTCCCGGGATCCCCTGCTCCACAGAGAGGTAGGCCTGGGGCTGGCAGTAGCCAAGCTTAGCCTCGGGGCAAGGAGGGCCGCCCGTGGAGAGAGACTGGGCCCTCCTCCACTCCCCAGCAATCCTCCAGGGCCTGGATAACTCCTGGGGGCACTGCATGAGTGGGGCCAGTGCCAGGTGGCAGGGGCACCCGCAGTTTGGAGAAGTCGGTCCCTGCTGGCTGGCATGGTTAGAGGAGTCTGAGCTAGCGGACAGGACAGGATGGGGTGGGGTGGGATGGGACGGGGCG